TTTTTCTCACATTTCATAGTGCATAGACACACATTTCCTTTGGTTTCGCTCTTGTAGCCACCATATTTACATTTACAAATATGCATTAGAATAGACCTTTACAACATTATTTATTGCAACACCTTTTTTAACCGTGACTGGATATCACGTAATGGTAAGATAATACAGTAATAATAAACTGCAATGGACACCGAGGTAGACACGTGTGGGACTCTATAATCGATTCATTAACACCGTATTATTAATACTGATGACTCATTCGACCACCAATTGAACAGACAGACTCGGCTTAACACATCGTATGGCATCGCTTGCACCGTTTATTGCCTCCTCCTCCTCCTCGTTTTAATATTAATCCGCCAAATGAAAAAATCAATCACTGTTTGATAAACAGTTTCATTTTACGTTAATTGTTCGCCAACGGGCTGGAATGATGATGCTAATGCCGAATTGTCGGTAAGACATTTGATAGAAGCGAGAAAGATTCGCGCTATTATGACTTATTGCTTTTTACTACTCGCGTTAACAGGGCATTTGAAGAACATCTATATGCAAACGTTTTTTCCACTTTCCAGCACCAAACTATCGAAAAGGATTTGATATCAAGACAACTAACAACCGGTTGTTGGGAGGAAGAGGCTCCTTCTGATTTCATGTATATATTCTGACCATATTTGCTCATCGATTAGATTAACTTAAATTATTTAATATTAATTCTTTGTCCTTTTTCAGATAATTCGGCGACTGGAGACAAGAGACATGATATCGAACAGAAGTTAGAAAGGCTTAAAATGCTGGAATGATTGCGGTATATATTAATCTTGCACTTATCATGTATGCAACAATAATACATAAATTGTAACATAATATGGCATTTGAAAACATCTAGGTTCGCTTTCGTTTTAAAGATCTCCAGATGTCGCTCGTACATTATCCGCTGGGTCATTATTACTTTCGTCCCACCTAGACGGCACGAATTTTCCAAAAATGATCAGGAACGTGGGAAGAGTTCCCTTTCTTTAGTAGCAGCCGTCCACTGGAAATTAACAAAAGTTTGCGAAAATCGTCAAGACTGCGGAGCAGTAGAATACCCTCTTCGCGACCACCGGTTCTTTCCAATCGTCAGTCCGTCTTTTTCCACCTCAATCAATCATCGACATGTCTTCAGTCATCGGCATCTCCCAAATCACTTTTTCGTTTCAATGATGATTGCAATGCCTGGGTCCGTCTGACAGATGAGCAAAAGTCGCTCAGAAAGAGGCCAAGGAACGGAGTTAACTTTCACGAGAAAAATTGAGGGCTCTTGAAACTGAATATGGTGACGACTGCCTGATGACAGCAATTTCGAAAACGTCCCAACTCGCAATACGTACGAGACCAGGATTCCAGCTAGTCCATGGGACAAGAGGTTGGCTAATACTTCCAGCACCCCCAGTAAGAGGACTACAAAGGGATATATCCCGAACACACCATTGGAGGTCATATTATCAGTCCCGGTTAATTGTACGTTTATATTTGATTTAAAGTCGTAATGTAGTTTCGTGCAATGAAAATC